ACGTATAATAAAAATATGATCTTTTTGTTCTCTGGTAAGTGCGGCTCAACACAGACTATCTAATACGATCTCAGTAACATTTGCCTTTCAGTGTCACTGGTAAATGAGCCACAGCCTGTCCGCATTTCTGCAATTTGTGAGACACTAATAGACCAGAACCAAGAACTAGCAGAGGAAGTGAGCAGCAAACCTTAAACGGTGACACCATTAACATTTTCCTGCAGGCTGCGGGGCAAGTTATAAATAGGGAGGTTTTTCTCCCCCTTGTATTCATCTTAATAGTGTAGCCCGCCTGACAAAGCTACTGCATTCCCGGTGAGTTGTGGGTAACGCCTGGAACACGGCTGACTGGGGCTGAGTGAACAAATCGTCCCCAAACTTCAGGCTCTGGGAGGCAGCCAGGCAATCCAGACATCTCTTGTTCTGCGGTTGCTTAGATTCAGACTAACCTTGTGGTCATTAATGTGTGTGGCTGGTTCTTCAGTGCAGGTTATCCCCTGGCAACACTCAGCCCGTATATAAACAGTCACTTTGATTTCACCATTTTATTTCTTGCAAGGAAAAAGCAGCAGGAAGATTTCAGCTTTTCCAGCTTTATTCCAACTGGGAGATGTTTTTGCAGAATATGTAAGGTTTGACTATGTTACTGCTCACCACATCTGTACTGTATGTTATGTGTTGTTAGTGGCATGCAATAACTTCATATTAAGTTTACATTCAGGCACTTCAAATTGAAATAATTCAACTTCCTTCACAACATTCTAAAGGAATCAGCTGTACTGTGTAGTGACCCTGTGTAAGTTTGTCATCTCACTGCAGGGTAATGCTTTTAAAAATTCAAGCTAAACTGTGCTGCGCTTCCAGCTTCAAAGGCCTTTCAAATGTGTCTGAGATCAGTTTGCCCTCTCCAAACATATTAATAATCTTCACAAGCTGTTGAGAAATAACTTTGTAGCAGGTAATAGAAATGATCTATTTGATGTGCCTGCACTGCTTTCTCACACGAATGTTTTCCTCTTTGAACACTTTGGAAGACTGTCTTTTCTTGGGGGTGGACCGTTTCGGTTTAGTTCAGCGTCTTCTTTTCTAGCTTTTTACTTGCTAATTTTACCCAGCCAGCTCAAGCGGGCAGAGCCTTTGAAATTTGAGGGAGTCTTGGATTAGTGCCCACCCACCCGAAACAGCCCCTCCCTTTCATTTCTTCGAAAGGAAAGGTTTAGGCAGACAAACAATAGATGTCTTAGAGCAAGCCAGCCTTTCAAAAGCAATGATTCCCAGTGCACTGCAGCATATTGATAATGGTCCGATTAAACTATCACTATGCTGTTCTGGTGTTTTTGAAGCAAGGCTGGAAAGCATAATTATACTGGGAAAGCACGTCTTACTGTTTTTAGTGCAAGCATAGTTCTGTGTCCTCAGGGTACATTTTCCTACAGGCAGATACGGAGTTTGACAGGACTCAACACTTGAAAGTATGTTCCACAAAAATAGCACATTAAGTGCTTCTTCTTTTTGCTGAGGCTACCAATTGCACATAACGTAGAGTATCATATCTTTTACAGAGGTAAAGATACTGTAGTTGTCATCATTGCTAATCTACTCAGAAGCTTGAGAGGCCGTGTACTTACTTTTTTAATTGAAAGAAATCTCTAAAGCATTATTCTTGCACAGCGTTTCACACGAATAAGCATCTCTAATGGAATTTGCAACTGTTATTGACTTTGTAGTTGGCAAAGAGAAAGAATTGCAGTTTTTTTTTACCCAGCTTTAATTAATGGATACTCATTTTGTGTTTTATGTATTTGTTTTTTGTCTCAGTTGCCTTGGATCATTAGAATTAAATCAAGTGCAGGTCACCTTTTTAAATTAAATTCAAATACAGTATCTGCAAATTACTGATTAGGAAATTATTAGTACAGAAAGCAATGATGATCTAACAAGACTGATTGATCTTGAAGCCATAATGCACCAGTCACTAGAACTGCATCTCTTTACAAACATTCACATTTATTTTTTTATTTCCATGTGTTTTTTAATTAATAAGTCTATGGCCAAATTTAAAGGTAATAAAAAAGCAGAACACAAATGTGCCTTTTGCTACTTCATAGCAGAAACAAAGGTCAATTGCTTTCAGCTTTTCAGTAATGACATCATCACACCATCAATGTCACATTGTTTTCATGACTGGTTTCATCTCACTCTGGATTTCTGAAATACAGTAACTCCAATTTGCCACACTTCACATTGAGCTTTTTTGAGAGATACAAAGCAAACACAGGCTCCTGCTATGAAGCCCATAGAAACTCAATTAATAACAAAGCCTACAGTAGGAAAAGCATTTTACTTTTTAAAAATGTATAAAGTTATTATTTGTTGTGGTATTTCTGTTACACTGCAAAATAAAAGTATTTTTTCCTCTGTCTTGGCTGAACTCAAGAAATCCCTGAGGTGGTCTTTCTGCCTGCTTCAGACATTAATCTGAGTCCTGTGAGCAAAGGGAAAAAACAAGAAGTTCTCCAGACAGGTTTCCTGAGCTGGGAGCAGGTCTCGTTAGCAGACAGAGGGCCTCATCTGGAAGGGGTAGTGAGGCAGGCATAGGATTACTGCACTAACCTCTGAATACTGGGCTGCCAATCTGCTGACTCATGACATTGTGTTTCTAACATTTCCAAACACTCGGCAGCAGTTAATATTTTTCTGTCAGGATCAGGCAAGCTTCGTCGAATATCCTACTGTTCTTGGAGGTGCCTTTTCCCATTAGTTTCCCTAATATTACACAACATAATATCAGCATAACATGCCCCATAATTTTTACCTCTGTGTTTCTGGGTGTTTTAACTCTCCATAGAGTAACTATATGTCTGTGCCAGAAAAAGCCTTTCGCATCAAGTTTGAGTTTGTTTGAGGAAAGTGTCTGTCAGTCAGACATGCTGGAGTTTAGATTGCATTCTAAACCTGTTATCAGAATGTCGCAAGGACACCAGTGTCTGTGTGATCACCAGATATCTCTGCCCTCCATCAGTGGTCAGGAAAGCATTTGACATCGGTTTGTATGATGAATGTTAATGTTCTCCTTGTGTTGCAAGCACCGGCTTCATTTCTTCTTCAGAGAGAAGCAGCAAGCTGGGGCTTACTGCTACAGACTGCTCAGGTTTTGGAAAGATGCTTTAAATATGATGCTGTTGCGAATTCAGATCACTGTGCTTCAACTTTCTAAAAAAGGTCAAATGAACAAACATACCAAATTCAGTAATAATACTGCTATCCATTGCATTCACTACTGAGAGAGGACATTTTTATTACTTGTATTAATACAGTATATACAGTATAATTCAGAGGTTACAATAACAATTTCATGGGGTAAATGTACAGTATTAGTTTTGTACTGTGCAGAAACAAACACAAGGCTTATTAACTGCATAATACGACGGTTAAGACATAAAGGTGAAAACATCCACAAGGTGTGGATTAAGGATCAGCTGCCTCTCAAATTTACAAGTGATAGTATGGAGTAGTTTGTGTTGCGTAAAGGTGAAAGAAGGTATTGGCTATCCAGCAGAACTGTGGTCTCTGTCAGAACTAGTTTTATTTGCTGTTACAAGGTTTGATAAAATTGTTCCTGTCAAAGTTATGCTCTTGTCAAAGCACAAATAAATTTTGGAGTTACAATTCATTACAAATCAGGTTACTCTAGTCCTTCATTTCTATAATTGCCACCATTGCAAACTTGACTGAAATCCACAGTGCATACACAAACCAAGGAATGTTTTTTTTTTCAATTTCTCCTTCCAATGCCTTTTCTCCCAGTATCTTACAGTACCTGTGCTGTTTTAAGTGTTCAGCCAATACAGAACACCTCCTGCAGTTCTCACAAAGTCCAAGCAAATTACTGGCTAGATTAGATGAGAAATTAGATATGTGTTCGAAAGAGTGATGGCGAATTTGATACTGTGTGATACCGGTCTTGTATGGTGTAGAGAGCTATTGATCAATTGAATTTGATTTTGCAGGATTGATTCATTGGAATGAAGACCCATTCTCAAACAGTAACATCTGATTGTACGATCAGCCCCATAGTACATAGTCGCAGCCTACACACTATTACTGTACAAGCCAGAACAGAATCTGGAATAGATTGAAACAGCAGTTCAAGGTCATTTTAGGTCAGGGCTTCTATCTGTTAGACCATCTGGTAACAATGCTTGTAGTTCCTGAAAGAAAATTCCAAAGACAAACATTTGTTTTTTTCACTTAAGAAATAGTGTACAGTATATCATTGTTATGTTAGTTTAAGGCTGTCCAGACATCATACAGACATCAAGGTCATTATGTTTTGAAATAATCTGTAAAGTATTTTTAAATATACTATGTAACAAAGATAGTTCAAACCCTTTATTAAACCAAACCACCAAATTTGGTTGATTAAATTTGTTAAAGAAATGCATTAATTTTTATCAATTTTGTTATGAAGATGATTGTTTGGATATGAACACAATAAATGTGATTGTTGTTAGTTCATTAATAATTTTACAGGAGATCTTTTCTTTTTGATCAGGATTTGAATCACTGTTCGATAGTGGAAAGGCAGGTTTGGTGTAGTTGGGAAGAACGCTGGAGTATTGTATATTCAAACTAAAGGCACTGTACAGTAAGTACATATGTCTTTAACTGCACAGTTGGTTAGCAGTTCACTGGTATAATCAGGAAGCAAAGTGTTTAGCCCTTGAAAGTGAGCAGCAAGATTTTACATTTTGTTCTGAAATCCACAGGAAGCTAAAACAGGCAAAATGTGCTGAAATGTGTTCTAGTTTTGGTTAAAATCAGAGCAGTTGAGTTTTGAACATGCTGCAGCTTGTTAAGCAGGTGATAAGAGACTAGGACACCAAAACCAACCACCCTCTTAGGGACACAGGAGATATTTATTGTCTTGTTCTCAGTCAAAATGTTTCCTGTCTTTAAAAACCTAGTATTTAATACATAATGATTTGGTTGTGTTTTAGACTGTGGAACAAGCCCAAACACAGGAAGAAGACAGTAATGAGTTCCCTGGAACAGATTATGTTGCTGTCACTGACATAGCCCAGGTAATTCTTTTAAGTTTCTTTCTTCTCCACTATTTACATTATAACTCCCAACACCAGCTGCTGGGAGTACAGTGTGATATAAAAACAGGACTCATTTGTATTTTGACCTTTTTTAATTTAATTGTTCATCTGTGTGCACAAGATCTTATCTTCCCTTGTTACAGTTAAATAATTGCTGAAAGTCTGGTTGATACACGGAAATGCACTTTCTGCAGATACTAATCGATTATCAGTGAATATAGATCAATGAAAAAGTAAAGTTAGGTTACAGAGAAAACCCTTCTGTGTGTTGTACAGTAAGTTAAATTGCTGGTGT